GTGTGAGGTAGGGGCACATCAGCCATGTAAGTGACAGTGAGCTGCACGTGGTCAGAGCGTATAGTGTGACGTTCTTGCAGACACTTGTGCCCGCACGCCGCTGTCGGCACCACACTCCTGCGACCTGACGTTTGCTCTCCAGTGCCTGAGACCCTCCCTTCCTCCCCCACCCAGGCCGCTGCTCATCTGCGTTCACTCGAGCGGACTGTGTGGCACTTGGAAGTTGGAGAGGAATGGACTCCCGCAGTGTCCACTCCTGTGTGTCAGTGCTCGCTGTTTGGAGAGATCTGCGTGCACAGACCGGCAGTGCGTTCCTCCTGGTTGCCAGCTCGACATGCCGCGGCGTGTCTGCGGGCACTTGGGGCCAGCCGTTCACTTTCCCAGGCTTTTGGCCTTCATCTCCGACAAAGTCCTCGTGTACAAACGTACCTTCTCTTCTCTCAGGTACCCGCCGACATGTGGCATGGCTGGTGGTGGCGTGTTGCCCTGGTTTGGGAATCTGCCTGGCTGCAGAGTGGCTGCACCGCCCCGGATCCCCGCGGGCAGCAGACGGCCTCCAGGGTCTCCTTGCCAGCACCTGGCCCGCAGCCTTTCTCGCTGTGACCATAGCCGGTGCACGGTGGCCTCTGCCTGTGGTTTGGACTGTGTATCGCAAAGGACCGATAACGCTGAGTGTCTCTGCTGGTCCTCATCGGTGTCTTGCTCGGCACAGCGTCCCCACTCAGGCCGTTTTCCCCCGGCAGTCTACTCCTTGCCGAGCCCGAGTGTTCTCCGTCCGTTCTCGCACGGGTCCTGTCACACACTTTATTTGCAGGCGTCTCTTCCCATTCTGCCGCTCACCATTTCGCTGCTTCATGAGGCTTCAGAGAGAAATCTGTATCATGTTTTTCCTTTTTATTTGTGATGATTTGGATATCGGAGCTGGGAAACTTCTCCTCTCCCAGATTCACATGTTTTCCTGTATATTCTTGGGGATTTTATTATTTTTCAACTTATGTGGAGGTTTATATTTCCATTTTGAGGGGTTTTTTTTATATTATACACATTATAGAATCTGAGGTTTGCTTTTTTTGTTTTTTTGTTTTTTGCTTTTTAATAAATACCCCGCTGTTCCAGCACTGTTTGTTAAACAGACATCCTTTCTGGGCGCTGGGGTGGCTCAGTGGAACAAGTGTCTGACTCTTAATTTCGGGCTGTCGTGAGCTCTGCATCCTGGGATCGAGCTCCGTGTCTGGCTCGGTGCTCAGTGGGGCGTCTGCTACAGATCCCTCTCCTCCCTCTGCCCCTCCTCTGGCTTGCGCGCCTGCTCTCTCTCACGCTCTCTAAAATAGCTAAATAAATCTTAAAACAACAACAACAACAAGCATCCTTTCTGTGCTGGATTGCCTTAGAAAATGTATCAGAACACACTGTCCACGCGTAGGTGTTTATTTCTGGGGCCTCTTGTTTTTCCTCAGTCTGACTTCAGGCCAGGGCTATTGTGGTCACTGTGGTTTTTTGACAATTCTTGAAATTAGGTTATTAGCTCTCCAACCTTTTCCCCATTGTTGTTTTGAGCATTCTGGGCCTGTTACATTTCCACATGACTTTTAGAATGAGCTTGTTTGTACAGAGAAATGTGTGGGATTTGACTGGGATGGTTTGGATTCTCTTGAACAGTGTGGGGAGAAGTGAAATCTCGTGAGGCCAGCCCTCCAGCCATAGCCACGAGTACCCCATGTGTTCGGGCTCATGCTGATTCCCCGCTGCTCTGCGGACCCCTGCGTAGTTATCAGAGGGCAGGCCTCTGACAGGATTTCCAGAATGATCTCCCTGCGCTCCGTGTTCTTGGGTGCTGTTGTGGATCACGCTGTCCAATTATCTTTCTTTGGTTTCTGTTGATTTCTGTAGCTCAATTCCATTAGGGACACAAAAGGTACTTGAATTACTAAAAAATCCTTTTCAGCACGTTGAGGGAGCCTCCTTGCATGGCCCACCCTCTGTCTGTGCTGGTAAATACTGTGTGTCCACCCAAGAAGACTGTGCCCTGTGCTGTACTCGTCAGAGGGCTCCTGCTGGACGCTTGAGTCAAGCCGGCTGATCATGTTGTTCATGTCTACTTTCTCCTGGGTTTTTTGCTTCTCGCTCTCTCAGTGATTGAGAGAGTGATATGAAATGTCTGGCTGTAACTGAGGGTCTGGCTGTTTCTCCCCACATTTCTGTCAGGTTTTGCCGCGTCTCCATTGAAGCGCTGTCATTGGCGTATGCGCTCTTAGGACGGTAATGTTCTCTTGGCCAGTTGGCCCCTTTGTCATTATGACTTTGCCTTGTGGGTGCCGTTCTTGGCTCTGGAATCACCTTGACACCAGCAGTGTCTCAGCCTTCTCCGCTGTCCTCCTCATGTTGGTATCTTACGGAGGTGCGCCTCTTTGTGTCACGAGTGCTCCTGTAAGCAGCCCATGGCTGGGGTCTGCTGTCCTGCCCACTTTGATGGCCTGCGTGTAGGCTCACGTGTCCTGTGGTGACTGGTACACCTGGGTCTCACTATCTTCTACTCGTCCCATCTCTTCCTCTGCATTCCCCATTTTCCTGTGTTCTTTCTAACTTATTGGGTATATTTTGTTTCATTTTATTTCCTTTATTTCACTTATTAGTCATCACTCTTTGCTATTTTAGGGATTATTTTAGGGGTTACGGTACATCTTCCACATACCACAGCCTTCCTGCAAGTGATGCAGCCTCGTAACTACATGTATCTGATCTTCCCCCTCAAGCCTCTGTGCTGTGTGTGTCACACATTCTATTTATAATCCTACCTCAGACCCCAATACACTTTTTATTAGTGTTGTAGAAACAGTCTCCTCAAAAAACAGTAATTTTGTATCTTGGCTAGAAGATGCAGTATATACACACAGGAGAATATTACTCAGCCATAAAAAAAGAATGAGATTTTGCCTCTTATGACAACATGGATGGACCTAGAAGCTGTTATGCTTAGTGAACTAAGTCAGAGAAGGCAAATGCCATACTGTTTCACTTATGTGGAATCTAAAAGACAAAATGAGTGATCAAATGAAGCGAAACAGAAAGGACTCACAGATAGGAGCAGAAACTGTTGGCTACCCAGGGAGGGGAGGTGGGCAAAGTGGGTGGCGGGGATTGGAAGGTACAGACCTGTGGTCATAAAACAGGTAAGTCATAGGGTGTGACATACGACACAGGGAAGGCAGCCCCTGACCATGCAGCAACTTTGTGTGGGGACAGATGGTGACATTAGTCATGGGGTCACTGCGTTACGTGCCTGAAAGTCCTGTGATAGCGTTTGTCAGCTGTGTACCAGCTGCAAACAGAAGCTAGCCATCCTTAGAGGAAATCAAAAGCCACATAGTTGCTACCATAGTCACGCTGTCCACTGCTCCTCGCTCCTTTGCATGGATCCTCGTGTCCCTGCAGTGTCCCCATCCTGCTGCTAGGAGGGCTTCCCTGGACCTCCCTTGCGGAGCAGGTCTGCTGGCGACACGATCTTGCAGGTTTCGTTCGCCTCAGAACAGCTTTATATTGTTTTTGTTTATGAATATTTTCACTGGGAATCGAATTCTAGGTTGGCCTTGTTTTCTTATTTCAGTATTTTAAAGATTTTTCTTCTGTTTCACACGTGCACTGGGGCTATTTTTCTTCATGTGTCTTGTGCTTGGGCTTTGTTGAGCTCCTTGGGTCTGTGTTTACTTTTCATCAAATGTGGGGCTTTCTTGCAGCATTTGTCCTTCTCTCCGTCCCTGTCCTTTCCTCTAGGGACCCCGCTCATGCAGATGTTGTGTTCCATGATGGCCCCACAGCTCAGGGACGGCCCTGTCAGCCTTAAATATTCCTTTTCTTGTCTATTTCACTAGGGGTTGTTTGGGGTGTTTTGTGTGTTGGGTTGTTTTCTTTCTATAGTCTTCAAGAGTGTGAACCTGTCTCCTGCCGCGTCGACTGTGTCGTTAGCCTGTCCGGGGTGTCTGTCAGCCTGGGCGCCGGGGCCTCCCCTCCAGGGATCGGGTCATCTTGCTCTTTGCTCCTCAGCCGCTGAGCTGCTGGACAGCGGACTGTTGCTTCCATGTCCCGACACTTGGAGTAACTGTTCCGGTCCTTGGATGCTACTTCCTGTCTGCCGTTCTTGGTGGCTTCCAGTTGATTGATTGTTCTCCTCATTATGGGTCATATTTCCCTACTTCTTTTAATGCCCGCTAGGCCTTGATTAGTTGGTGGACACTGAAGTTTGGCTTGTTGGATTCTGAATGTTTTTGTATTCGTATAAATCTTCTTGAGCTTTTTCAGAGATGCAATTAGGTTTCTTGGAAAGAGTTTGGTCCTTTCAGATCTTGTGTGATTTGCTAGGCCATCCTGGAGCACTTCTGAGTCTGGAGATAATTATCTCTTGCTCCTGAGCCAAGACCTTCCTGAATAATCCATGAAATGAGAGTTTTCCATTCTGGCTAGTGGTGGGGAAGGCCCTGGACCTTAGCCTGTGTGCATGCTGGGCCCTGCTTCCTGGACATGCTTTCTGCTTTGTAAATCACGTGAATGTAGTGCCTTTCAGAAAATTAACTTTAAAAAAATGAAGACAAAAATAAGAGTTTCTCACAGTGAGCTGAAGCCTGCCACATGCCTGTGTCGGCACTGAGCCCACTTCCCCGCAGTCTAGCTTCCCTCCCCAGCCCACGCTTGTCCTCAGGCCATCTCCGTGGTTCTGTGTCCTCTACGACATGAGGTCACACCTGCTGTGAGCGGACCGACAGGTGCAGGACACGTGCAGGCTCCTACTTGTGCTGGTTCATTTTCCCCTGCACCCCACCCCCCAGCTGTGATCAGTGAATATCCCCTGTAGCACCCTCCCCTCTCGGTCAGAGCAGACACGTGGGCCGCACTCCCCGCCTGTGCAAGAACCGATCCCCACCCCCCCGCCCCACAGAGAAACCCTTGCTGTCGGAACGGATGTGTGGGCTGTGGACTGTGTCCTCATGGTCCGGCTCTTCTTGCAGGTTGAAGATTGAGGAACTGGAAGGGGAGCGCAGTCGTCTGGAAGAAGACAAGAAGATGCTGGAAATGCAGCTCGAGAGGTTCACCCTGCAGGTGCGTGTGGGCGGGCGGCCACAGGTGGAGGCTTCTCCCAGCGCTCTGTGTTCTCCCCGGGCGTGCCCTGCTCTCCTGGCTTCTCCCTGCGTGTCAGTGTCTGTGCTTCCCACACCCGTAGACGCCCTGTCTTCTGGTTCATCAGACTAAGCCGAGTCGGGGACCTCCCAGGACACACGCACCCCTCGTTGGCCGAGACCATGTGTCCCGGAGCCCAGCAGAGAGGGGTGCTGCCTTTGGCCCACATGTCACCAGGCCAGGGCCACGGTCCTGTGCTCCATCAGTGCTCTTCCCCTCTCCCCTCCCCCTATACCGGCCACAGCCTGTGGCCCGTGTAGTGGCTGAGAACCCCCAGGGACCTTCTCTGTTGGGGTCTGTGTCCAGGCCCGTCCCCACCTCCCACAGCCGTGAAGTCACACTGCCGCTGACTCTGTTCGCTCTCTGTTTTCCGTTGTTATCCTCCTGTCTGAATTGTTCCATGGCGAGGAACCTGCAAGTTCGTGATTACCCAGATTTTGGACAGGCCATTGATTTTATCTTGACACCTATTAGAGGCAAATCAAATCTCTTTTTTATTACCGATGCTGGGAGTCGGGAGCAGTGACAACTCTGATGAGGCACAGCGCCGTGGGCCGTGGCTGGCGGCGGTCAACGCTAGGAGCTGTGCCGGTTTAATTGGGCCGCGGGCCTCAGAAGGGAGAGCTGGGCTGTCGGCAGGTCGGCCCTGGCTGCCTGTCAGCTGGTCCCTGTCAGAGCAGGCTTGGTGGGTGTCTCTTGCGTGTCCGGTTGGGTGCAGCCTGCCAGCAGGGCTGGCAGCGGCCCAGGCCCCCCACCCCCGTGATTGCGGTGCATGGAGCCCTGCTGAAATCTTTCATTTCCTTTTTCCCTGCCTCTGGGCTTCCAGGGAGAGCCTGCTGTGGCGCTTGGCAGGATCTCGGGTGCGGTGCAGGTGAGCCCCATGGCTCATTGGACGTTCACCACCAGTGCCAGCATGCCGGGAGGTGGGGTATCCGGTGCTCTTCCCATCTCAAGTCTTCCTGGGTGGAGATACTTTGAGCACCACACCAGCCCTTGGGTGGGACAGAGGCCTTGCAGCAAGTTCTGGAGCTGCTCATGGCCCAGGGGCTGGGCTTCCACCCACGGGGCCAGGTGGCGTCTGTCTCCCCACCTATGGGATACGGTTAGGAGCTCAGCAGGTGCCACAGCCCAGCCACGGGGGCAGGCCTTGGGGGCCAGGTCTCCGTCCTGCTGGGGCTCAGGTGCATGTGGATGGATGTGGCAGGACTCCCTGGGTCTTGGCTGTAGCCCCGGGGTGAGGGTGGCAGGGCTGAAATGCAGAGGAGTGGGTGGTGGAAGCTTCTAGATGGTCACACATGCCTGCTTTCTCTGTTCCGGCGGGTGTCCCGCAGCCAGCCTGCTGTTCTGCAGCAGTGCCGTCGCTGACCTTGAGGGGCAGGGAGAGGGGGACCGTGATAGCCTCTCCATATTCCTGCTTGCAGCTCAGATCCACGAGGGCCGTCCCTGCGTGGAGACTGGGTCTTGTCTCAGGAAAGTCGGCCATGCACCATTGCTGTGCTCTGAAGACCTTTCTCTGTGTCCATGATCGCCAGTGGGAGGTCCCACTACCCCGTTTCCCTGATGAGGAAACGTCCAGTCAGGGAGGGGCTGTCCTTCGGCCCAGGGCACCCAGCAGAAGGGACAGAGCTGAGCTGGGAACTCGGTTCCTGGTCTCCTGGTCCGCTCCCCCCACTGGCTACCCCAGCCCAGGTCTGCTGTGTGGTGCAGAGGTTGGCACCCCGGTGCTAAGCCGGCCGTTCCAGAGGGCTGGGACTCTGGCTGAGGCAGCGGCTTTTCCGTCTGACTGACCCAGACGCCATCCCCTTGTCCGGCTCATGACAAGCACCTGTGAGCTCCGGCCCGGCTGAGCGCACAGACCCCCGGGACAGACAGGAGTGAAGGCCAGGTGAACGGCCGTGCTGGTCATGCAGAGTGGATGAGAAGGACTTGTGTCTGGCCGAGGCCCAGGTGTCCGCCCCCTACTGCCCAGCGAGCCCCCGCCTCACAGGGTGCAGTCCGGCCATGGGGCTCCGGAGTTCCTGAGCACACGCCCCCCACTGTCCCCTCTTTGCTCTGCGAGAGGCTTCAAGTTGGGCCGCTTCAAGGAAGATTGATTAAAATCAGCTGCAGTTTGACTTAATTGGGAACATATGCTTGGAGAGGGAGCGCCACTAGTTAGAACTTCTTGTAATTAGTTCACAGCTGGTTGGTGAGGAAACAGCTCCGGTTACCGCTCCGAGCCTGGTGTGCGCCTGCTGCTCCACTCGCTCTGGGTGCCTGGACGGCCGTTGGGGGCAGGCCTGCCGTGGGGCCGGGGCCCGGCTGTCCCCACACTCGTCCTGGTGCCGCAGCCCACGGAGGGGACTCCCACCAGGGGGGATCTGCAGCTGTCCCATGCATGCCGCCCTCTAGTGATGGGGAAACTGAGGCCTGCGGTTGGCTAGCCTGTGAATGGCTCGCTCACAGACACCTTCTGTAGAGGCAGGATGGGTTGGACAGGTCCAGAATTCTCCAGGGCTGGGAGTGAGCAGACGGCCTGGATGTCTGGGCCTAGAGGCAGGGGGCGCCCTGTGCTCCCCGTGTGGCTGCTGGAGCTGGAGACTGGTAGCCGTGGAGCAGGACGTGCCGCCACGGCCCTGATCCTCCCTGCCTGGGCCCCCTGCTCCCTCCCACCCCAGCCCTGCCCCACACACCTCTCCACAGGCCTCAGTTTCCCAGAGTCAAGAGAATGATTGAGGAATGGTAGCAGGACACGTCTCGTTAGCCCTGACCTCCCACTGGCCTCTTCTCAGTGAATGGGCTCTGGCGTGGGTGGTGGCTGTGGCCCTGGTGTCAGTCAGGCCACTTTGATGACCATAGTGACAGCCCCCAGGCTGGGTGTCTCACTGCCAGCTGAGCAGGGCCACTGCCGCGACTGCTGTGAGTAGAAACCCCGCCATCCTGTGCATCACCTTGATGACAACAAACATGCTTTTCCACATTGGAGGTTCTGACGGGCCAGGCTTGGGGACTGTGACAGCCATGGGCCACTGGTGAAACCGAGAGGGGACCAGACATGGCAGCACCAGGGCCGGGGGCCATATATCTATCAGCAGCCTGGCTCAGGCTGGACACCACATGTGCAAAGCACAGCCGGGCCACGTACGTGCACTCTGTGCCCTCGGCCCCGCCGGGTTGGTCCCAGCGCGCGACAAGTATCCTCAAATGTCCAGCAAAGCCGGACAAGCTCCTCCGTGCAGACCCACTTCCTACCGCCCACATCCTGGCATGAGCGTGGGGGCCCCCTGATGCCACCCCTCCACCATCCATCAGTGCTTTTACCGTTTTTTGATGCATTTTAAAGCAAATTGCAAACATCTGCACCCTTCCCTGTAAATGCTTCAGCATGCATGTAATCAAGCAGAATTCATCTCTGGGAGAGGAGCCCACGTCCTGCTGCCCTCGGTGCTGCCTGATCACGCTGTGTATCCAGCCAGGTGACCAGCCGGGGTGGGCGCAAGTCCCGATTCACCCCCCGCCGCCCCAGCCCGCCATTGGCTCCCCAGGACTGGGTGGGGCTGCCCATAGCCCACCAGCGGTGCTGCTCAGGAAGGGGACCAGACTGTAGCCCAGTGACATTTGAAAGAAGTATCGTTTTTGGAAACGGAGTGGGTAGAAAATTGCTGGGTTGCCTGTGAGCGGAAAGCTCACAGTGCCCGTGGAGACGTCCCCACTCCTGTCCCTGCGTCAGCAGGCAAGCAGCCCTGTCTCATCAGACCCTCCCGGCCTCCACCTCCTTCCCTCTTCCTGAATACGAGGTTGGGGGAGCTGCACTCCTCACACCACCCTGCCCTCTCCCCACTGATGCTGTGACAGGATGGCCCCCGGGTGCCCACTGGTTCCCTTCCACCTGCAGGTTCCTCCTGCCCGGCCTGGGCCCCCTCCCGGGGACAGACCTCCTCTACCCCACCTGCTCCCACCTGCTCCCACCTGCTCCCACCTGCCTAGGAGCACTGAGCCCAAGGCAGGCCTGACCTCTGCTTCTCAGAACCCTCCTGCCTCTGACCTTTCCCCTGTGGACTCCGGCTACTGACCACGACCCTGGGTGTGTCCCATCCCTGGCTGGCCCTCTGCCTATGTGTCTGTAGTGCTCTCTGGGCCCCTCCCCAGGGGGGCCAAATCCCACAGGCCATGTGCTGGGGATCCTGCGTGAAGGGAGAGCTCCAACAAGCGTGACCAGAGCTTAGGGGCGCTAGACTGACAGTGGGCAGCCACGGCCACAGCTGGTCTGCGACAGGCAGGTGCCAATCACTGCTGTGCGGGAGTCGCCCCTCACCCCGCCTCCAGTGCCCAGTGAGGCCCCTTGTCGGCTGCACACATAGAAGGCCTTCCGGTCGCTGAAGAAAGAGAGTGGTCCTTCTCTCCAAGCAGATGAAGGAGCCGGGTCCCTCAAGTCCCAAGACCCCCACGTCCTGTGCCTCCATTCCCCCAGCAGAGGCCCTGCTGCACCGTCAGCTCGCATTCCTGCCCTGGCAGCTTGGGGTCCCCCCATCCAGCTGGCTTTCCCCTCAGCCCTCCCGGCTCCCATGACAACTGTCTGGGGCGCCCCCCGACCCCCGGTCTCTGCCCAACAGCCCTGCCCATCCCTTGAGGCCAGCTTGGGCAGTGCCTTCAGGCCACATCCGGGACCTCTTTGTGGGTCGGTCCTCTGGAGCGCGAGCTCTGCAGGCAGTGACCTTCCCTGGCTCCCAGCCCACACTCAGGGTGTGGACGAGCGGGGCATACCTGGGGGTGCAGCAGCAGGTGACGTGGCGAGGAGGTGGGCTCTGGAGGAAGCTGGGGCCAAGCAGCTTGGCCCTGCGTCCTGCGGTGGCTGGGACAGGTTGGTGCCAGAAGTGTTTCGTGGCGTTCTTCTTGTGTAGGATCTCCTTTGACTGCTGGTTGTTTTTCCCCTAACAAATTCT